CCTCGGGCAATAACATATAACAACACCAGCCCCTCGGGCTATATCACATATCAAACTGGATACCCGCGCTCACTGGGGGTGTACAAACTCCGGGAGGGGCCCCTTACGGCCCAAGCGCAATATCAAGCCATCTCGTGGCATAATCAATAGGCTCTCGGCCTCATATCAAGCCACCTCATGGCGTACAACTCAGGCCTTCGGCCTCATAATCATAATCAGTACAACACTGCTGCGGCGTGCAGCCCGATCCCATAATAATCCTCACAACACAAGCCCTCGGCCCTACCCAGTCAGAAATCTCTAAAAGCCACTCGGGCAAAATAAAATATGATGCTCAGCCCAAAATATCATTTAAAGTATTAAAACAGAGTAAACATGGTTGAGTTATGAAAACAGTATAATATAGTATGACTGAGTACAAATATAAAGTCAAAATAGTGAGGAAATAGTAGTAAAAATACCCTAAGGGTCAAAATAGCTGGCACGAGGCCCAAATATGGCATTTAACCCAAAATATGATGATAACAACCAGTTTTCAATCAAATACGCAGTAAAACAGTCATTCGGGGTGGACTAAGTACCAATCCCCAACAATGCACGACCCCACACTCGTCATCTAGCATGTGCGTCACCTCAATATAGTACAACGATGTGGAATCCGGGGTTTCATACCCTAAGGACAACATTAACAATCATTACTCACTTTTATCCGGTCCAAACTCTAGCCCGCGATGCCTTTGCCTCTCAAATCGGCCTCCGGATGCTCCAAATCTAACCAAAATTAGTGCAAAACCATCAAAATTTGCTAAGGGAACAAAGCCCACTCGAAAAAATCAAATTACAACACAAATCTCGAAATTGGCCAAATCCGACCCCCGGGCCCACGTCTCGGATCCCGAAAAAAATTACATCAATAGACTCCTTATCACTCCCCGAGTTTATTCATATCAAAATCACCAAAATCCAACCACAAATGTTCCTCAAATCCCTAATTTTAGATCTCCAATTACAAGCCCTAGTTCTTCAATATTTAGGCTTAAATTCAACAATTTCCATGATTAATTAGATAGAAATCACATTAGGATCGAGTATTAAGTCCATAAATCTTACCTCCAAGTGTTACCCCTTGATTCCCTCTTCAATCCTATTCAAAAAGCTTCAAAATCGCCCAAAAATGGAAGAATTTAGGCTAAAAATCGCGGAAATGAGCTTTTAAAACATTCTGCCCAGACATTTCATTCCTTCTTCGCGAACGCGGTCAAGGCCTCGCGTTCGCGAAGCACAACCTGACGTTGACCACATTTTCCTTCTTCGCGAACGCGTCTCCTCTCTCGCGAACGCGAAGGCTCAGCTCCACAACCCATCGCTAATGGGGGACCTTCTTCGCGAACGCGAAGGCCAAAAATCCTGCCTCACATCTTGACCCTTCGCGAACGCGAGGGACCACTTGCGAACACGAAGGCCAAAAGCCTGCAACAGCTGAAGCCAAAAATCTGCAACTTCTCAACTATGCATTTTGGTCCGTTTATCCACCCGAAAATCACCTGAGGTCCTCGGGACCTCAACCAAACATGCCAACATATCCCATGACATCATTCAAACTTGTTCCAACCTTCGGAACGTTCAAAACAACATCAAAACACCAAATTTGCATCGGATTCAAGCCTAAGAATTCCAAAATCTTTCAAATTCCGCTTTCGATCAAAAAGTCTATCAAACCTCGTCCGAATGACCTGAAATTTTGCACACACATCCCAAATGACACAACGGACGTACTGCAACTTTCGAAATTCCATTCCGACCCCTATATCAAAATCTCACCTATCAACCGGAAAACGCCAAAATTTCAATTTCGCTAATTCAAGCCTAAATCTACTCCGTACCTCCAAAACACATTTCGATCACGCTTCTAAGTCCCAAATCACCTCCCGAAGCTATCCGAACCATCAGAACTCACATCCGAGCCCTTTAACACATAAGTCAATATCCGTTTGACTTTTCCAACTTAAGCTTACTCAAAAGAGACTAAGTATCTCAAACCTTACCAAAACCTCTCCGAACCCGAGCCAACCAACCCGATAATACAAAAATACAGCTGAACAAGGAAATAAAAAGCAGAAATGGGAGAAACATAGCGGTAACTCATGAAACGACCGGCCGGGTCGTTACAGAATTATTGTTCACAAAGTTCAAGAAATAAAATTAGAATTTATAATTTTGACCATGTCATGATATTTGTTTGACTATAAATTACATTATCAGAGTAAAATAAAAAGGTTTAATTAAAGTATTTATAAATAAAAAAAAGATGACCGTTTCATACACAAGAAAAAAAATAAAGAGTGTTAAAAAATGTCCTTTTAATTCAGATATCAAGTTAATATTCAAAACTTGCTTTAATTAAATACGTAAAATGCAAAAAAATAAAATAAAATGCGTGTACATGTAAAATTGTGGAGTCAATTGAACCTCAACGAGATAACTGCAATATTCAAAGTTTACAACATCTCAACATTTTCCAGGAAAAGAGGGGATGGAAATCAATAATGACATTCATTTTAAGTGGACTTAGAACCCATAGGCCATAGCTACTATTTTTCTAAGAGTTGCAATCCCGAATATGAACGTGGAGAAATTCTTGATTTTTTTAAACTAAAGATTAAGAGGCGTGATATGTTCCATGAATCTCCATCAGCCTATTCATGTTGTTTCTTCGGCTCTCAATTTACATGCACCTTGATTAATTAATTTTATTTAGTACTAGCTATTTGCCCACTAAGATTAGCGTTTTATTTATACTAAAATCTGAACCCCAGGCCATTATGGTTTCATTGCCCCTTAAATCACACCATTAGTTGCTAAGTTTTTCATATCCTTTTGATCCATAATTAAATAGTTCATCGACCTTGTACACAAATTCTTTTTACACACTTGTTAAAAACGGAAATAGTATTACACATCAAAACTTTTAAAAGTTTGTCAATTACACACTTCTTTTGCCATGTGTCACATGCGTGTATTACACATACAAGAGGTGCGTGAAAACTACAAAATTCATCTGAAATTAAGTTTTTTATTTTATTTTTTTCCTTTTTTAACTATTTNCGTCTTCTTCCCCAACCTCCATTCTAATTTTGTATACCCTCATATTTGGTCTCTTCAACCACCATGACTAAGAAGAAAAAGAAAAGGAAGAAGAAAAGAAGAGCTATTGGGCCTTGTAAAAATCACCATTATTGACCTTTTGAAAAGCTTGAAAACTTAATCGGGTCTTGTTGATTTTGGTGTTTCATGACCTAGAAAACTAATTTGAATTCGTGATTATTGTTGAATAAAAATTTACATAGGTGATTAATTTTGATAAAATTCAAAAAACACCATTAACAAGTTTGAAGCTTTGGGTTTGAGCTTGATTTTGAAATTTCTATAACGATTTGTGATGGATGTTGTTAAAACTTGTTAAAAATCGGGCAAAGAGTTGAATCTATAGTTGGGGAAGAAGGTGCTTGTAGTGGAAGGGTTGGTGGTAATATGGTGGCGGTGGAGAAGATGATGGGGTTGGGGAGATGAGGAGGGGGTGGGGTTTTTTTTCTGTATTTTTTTTCTTTGGGAAGATGAGGAGTGGGGGTGGGGGCAGCAATTTTTTTTTTTTAGTTTTTTTTTAATGATTATGACACGTGTCAGACGTTAATTGGCGCGTGTAATAGCAATCTTTAAGCAGATGTGGTCAAACACCGAAATGGTGTGTAATTGACACACCTTTAAAAATTTTGATGTGTAATATTATTTCCGTCTTTAACAAGTGTGTAAGAGGAATTTGGGGACAAAGTCCATGGGTAAAGTATGTATTTTATCTTTTTTTTTTTTTTACTTTGTATGTACGAGCTGAGTAATACATGTAAATATGAAAAGGCTCGGACGCTATACCTTGGTTTGACGGAGGCGGATGTGTGTTTGTCCTTCACATTAAGATAACCCTCCAAATCTTATAATTATACCAAGAAGATTAAGAACCTCATAAACTTAAAATAGTATGTGACTCCCAAGGACCCCACATCCTAGGGTTCAGAAAAAAACACCGATTAGAGACGAAAATTATATTGGAGTTCAGACTTTTTTTGTTAAGGAGCGTACCCTACTTAATAGACTGACGGGTGATTAGATTATTTATTGATTAACCCAAAATTAGTATACATGCCTAACATATATTAAAAATAAAAGACGAGACATTAATAAAAGACATGCATGATGTGATTTCTCAAACAAGACTATTTCCAAATTCCACTGGAAAGACACCTTATACTAAGAAGTGTCATCCTATACGATTTTATTAAAAATTCACTACTTAATATATATTTTAAGTAATTTATTTTTTAAAAACAGTATGTCTATATACAATATGTCAGTACTGCTTGAAACGAATATATAATAAACACTAATTTGAGATTAAAAAAAATAATGACTTGAAGCTTTCTAATGGGTAATATTCCGTGATTTGAGTTCGGTTCTTTTAACCCGATTTTCCCTTTCTTTCCTCCAATCCACTAATATAATGGAAATCTTTTGAAAAAAAACCTACTTTCTTTCATATTTTATCTAACAAACTGGACCAAATTTAATCTATGAATACGCGAATTCGCTCCTTATATTTTTTATTTTTTTATTTTTTCATATTTATATTGAACAGTAATTAGTGTTTGGCTAAACTTTTTTAAAAGTGATTCTAAGTGTATTTTTTCAAAAATTCTATTGGGGAGAATCTACTTTTTTCTGCTTCTCCAAATTATTTTGCTTCTACTCAAAAATAATTTTTTAAAAAGTTTGGCCAAACACTTCAACTTTAAAGAAAAAGTACTTATGGCCAAGTTGAAAGAGCTTGGCCAAACAGGCTAGATATGAGCAATAAGCCGCTATATGCAAGAAGTTAAGATTTTATTCATGACTGAATTACTCAACAAGAAATTCATGTCACCTATTTTTATATGCTTCACCTCCTGTTATTTTGTTCAAGTCGTACAAACTCCTGAGTGAACTCATACAGACTTCACTTCATATATATACATATATATAGTATGCTGGCTCAAACAAAACTGAAGATCCACAATAAGAACCTAACTTCTAATATAGGCCATATATGGTATAGACTAACATATTTAAAGAAAGTCATTAAGAAAAAAATTAAAGAAGGTGAACCATGCTGAACTAATCTAGACCCAATAGCTTCATTTCACCTGGTTCAAAACATCCAATTGGAAAACAGGATTGTCTCTCATATAAAGCCTCATACAGGACCATTTGAATACTCGACTGGTAATTGTTGTTGTAAGCAAATTCTGCTAATGATAACTGCTCATCCCACTGATCTCCAAAGTTAATGGCACATGGTTATCTATAAGACTTGAGAATAGCACCACAGAAACTACAGACAATAGCCTTCCAAGATTTCCAGTATAAAGGAACATAACAAAATCTGGTAACAGTACACATATCAGCAACATGAGCACTACGGCCACATCTCGAACAGGAGCCAGCTACCGGTTTAGTCTTCTTTACTACTGACCTCTGATCAACCAGAAAGCAAAAACAGACCATCAAAACTACTTATACCAAATAGAATAACAATTTCAGAAAGCTTTTGATTTATTTGGCCTACTACTTTCTTCCTTACTCGAGTAAAGGGGTCGGCTAAAGTTAAGGATCCGAAAGATTGGTGGCTTAAGCTATAAGTACTACTACTACACGGAAGTTTTTTCATTTTTTGAACTTTTCTATTATATTTGGAAAGACAAAGGAAAAGGGAAAGTAGACACTGAAAATGTCAAGTACATACTTGTTGTAGGAAAAAATTTCAACGATATCATTTAAAACACATTGGTGTGTTTTAAGTTTGAACACTTCAATTATAATGTGTACTTACTAGTAGGGTAGTAGTTACAATATGCAATAATTACACAATCTAGTATTTCAAAGACGTACGTGTTTGTTTATCATAATGTATAAAGTACATCTTGAATTCACAATGTCGTGTTTGTTTGAAGAAATGGTTTCAAAAAAGAGTTAATACCCTAAAAATTCTTTAAAATATTCAATTTTTGTCAATTTTCTACTTAAGTTATTCGGTGTCCCAAAATCTACTATAATTCCCTATATAGCTATAAAAACCCCTCATTGCATTTCTGGCAGTGTATATGATACACACTTCCTAATTATTATAAAAATATACCATGCAGTACTACAAGTGGCTATCTCCTAAATACACTTTAATGCTAGGTATTACAGAATACATATTTTCTAGTAAATATATTACTTAATTATAATTGGTTAACTAATATTATTAATAACAAATAGTTTGGTACAAACAAATAATATTTTAACTTCAATCCATCATGTATCTGCTTACAAGTTTAAAATTTTAAAAATTTCCAGTAACTCATGTGAATATAATCCAAACTTCAAAAAATTGTTTCATATTAAAAATAATAAAAACACATATTAAATCATATACGAGAAACGGAAGTATTTTATTTAACAAAAATTTGTACGGGTAAATAAATTAGGAGTAACTTGGCCAAGAAATAGGAGTAGCAAAATAAGAGTATGTTTAAAGAGTAATTTAAGTTTGAAAACGAAAATAAAAATTAAAAATAAAGGTTGCCTTTAGAAGATAATTACATGAATTCGGAACCAAAGTGTGGTCTTTTCTGATTCAAAGCACAAAAATAGGTTAAAAAACCAACTGATGACCAATTTATATATAACGCATGGGTTGAATACGATATACCTTTTTTTGGTCAAACTGTCAAAAAATTTCATTTAACCAAGTATAATATTTACAACTCACTAGCTCATTTGGACTCTTGAACTAGACTCAAACAAAACACAAACTAAACAATCTCTCTCTCTACTACAACTTCTCTACTATCAATCTCTATATGTATCCATACATGTCTAAGTAAGATAGTTGCTCAATCTTTCTAACTACTTGTGCCATTTGGATTTCTTCTGCCCTCGTATGTGTAGCTCTAGGATAATATTCTTCACCCTATGAAGGCTTGCTATCATCTTCCCTTGAAATCTTCGTTGATTCCTCTCTGTCCAGACATGATAAATTACAGCTGCAAATAGGAATCTTAGCATGTGAGCTCGAACTCTGCATGAACTTCTTTTTTCTAACAATTCAATCGCAGCATTCCAGCTGCCTATTTGGTATTTTTCTCTCATCCATTTTAACAATGTTGTCCACATATTCCTGGAGTAGTCACATTAAAAAAATAGATGCTCCATTGTCTCCTCAGTATCTTTCTCACACAGCACACAATAACTAGCTATTGATAGCCCCCACTTCCTTAATCTATCCACTGTAGCTAGCTTCTTATGCATAGCCAACTACAAGATGAATTGATGCCTTGGTAATGCTTTTGAATCAATTGCAATCCTTTTCAAATGACGCTTAGGATACTGGGACATTGTTGCATGATATAGCTTCTTAATGCTAAACTTTCCTTTTGTACAGTACTTGTTCAGATCAACAGAGGGGTCCCTTTGAGTTAGCCAATCCCTTATGTCAAATATTTTCCTAACTAGCCAACAGGACTGTTTAGGAGTTTGCATAGTTAGTATGTCATTCCCTTTTATATAGTAGCTGTGTATCCATTGGATCCAAAGATTGCCCTTTTTTCATTTATTGCCCAAAGAAGTTTACATAAAGCAGCTTTGTTCCAATTAGCCACATCAATTACATTAAGACCTCCAACTGATAGTGGCATGCATATCTTATCCCAAGGAACCAGTGCTTTTCTTGAAGGTTCATTACTTCCAGTCCAAAGGAATATTCTGCAAGCAGTCATAATCAGTTTGGTTATCTTTTTTGGAAGTAGGAAAATCTGTGCCCAATAGGTTTGCATTTCAAATATCACACTCTTGAGTAATTGCACTCGACCACTGTAAGATAGGAGTTTGGTTGACCAACATTTGAGTCCTGCAGTAACCTTTTCACTTAATGGCATACACTGCTGGATAGATAACTTCTTAAAGGACAAAGGAACCCCTAGATACTTGAATGGCAACTCACCTGTTGTGAATTGCATATCTGCAATGAACCCTTCTTTGAACTCCCTTGGCACTCCAGCAATGTACAAAGCACTTTTATCCATATTTACTTTTAGTCCTGACACCTCTGAGAAATATTGAAATCCGCTCATGAGTAAGCTTATGGATAACTTATCTGCTCTGCAACATAGAATTAGATCATCAGCAAAACATATATGGGTTATGTTCGTTTTAGAGCACCTCGGGTGGTAGTTGAAGTCTAGAATGCTCTCTAGTGTCTTCAGTGATCGATTCAGGTATTTCATCACCAATACAAATAGGTAGGGAGACATTGGATCTCCTTGCCTAAGCCCCTTTTTTGCTTGTAACTTGGTCGTCAATCCTCCATTTATCAGTAAAGAATAGCTGACAGTTGTCACACACTCCATCACAAGCTGTACAAACTTCACAGGCATAACAAATTCAAGTAGTATCATCTTTAGAAAAGGCCACTCAATTGAATCATATGCCTTTCTTATGTCAACTTTGATCAAACATCTTGGTGAGACCCCCTTTTGAGTATATCCTTTAACCAATTCATGAACAATAATAACATTATCCAATATATTCCTCCCCTAAAAAAATGTTGATTTAGCAGGTCCAACAATATAGTCGACCAAAGTCTTTAACTTTGCTGTTATAATCTTTTCAATGAGTTTATATATTGTAGAACAACATGCTATGGGTCTAAACTCCTTAACAGATGTAGGACTATTTACTTTGGGTACTAGTGTAATTGTAGTGCAGTTCATGCTTCTCAGCATCTTTCCATTTTCAAAAAATGCCTGAATAGCTTGTTTAACTTCACCTACAACAAAGTTCCAATGTGCTTTAAAGAATTCAACAGGGAAACCATCTATACTTGGAGTTTTTCATTAGGTAAATCTTTGAGGGCCTGATCAATATCTTTTTCTGTTATTGGTCTGTTGAGCTCCTTTTGTTGTTCCTTAGTGAGGCAAGGTTTATTTCTGGTTGTATCTATATCAATATATGGCAATTCATCAGCACACTCTCCTAACAAAGATTTAAAGAAACATGTAAACTCTTGCTCTATCATTTTTGGTTCAGTAATTCTGGTTCCTTGATCATTGTATATTGAACCAATTTTGTTTCTGGTCTGACTTGCCTTTAGATGCGCATGAAAGAATTTGGTATTTTGGTCTCCATCTCTTATCCACATTGCTCTAGATCTTTGACGCATCACTTGCTTATTAATTCCTTCCCATTTTTCTATTTGCACTAGTAGCTCTTTCTCTTCTGGTATCAACTGACCATTAAATGGATCCACATCAAGTTTCCCCTGAGTAGTCTGCAATTGTACCCTCAGATTGTCCATCTTTCTCTCTAAGGAAGACACCTCTTTGTTCAGCTGCCCTACTTTGTCTTTTAGCCTTTGTAATTTTACCCAAATAGAGTACATAGTATTGCTCTGTATTTGTTGACACCACACTTCATTCACAACTTTCTAAAACTCCTAATTATTCAATAGCACATTATATAGTCTGAGTAGCTTCAAGACTACTATATTTTGTCAGCCATGAAGCATTTCCAAAGGCCCAGTCAATATTGTTATAAATTATGTTATCTGCATCCCTTTTATTACACCAAGACCATTGCCACCCCTTTCTATTCAGTTGTCCCAACCCAATATCAGCAATGCACCTTTGAAAGTCCACCAATTCATCTTGTTGCACTGGTTTCCCATTGATTCGATCATCAACAGATAACACGCTATTGAAGTTACCTATAACCAACCATGCCTCTTGCATAATATGTTGAAGTTGTCTTAGTTGATCCCATAGGCTCCTTCTTTCAGGTATAGTTTTCTTCCCATACACAAATGTTATGTCACATGTAAATTGTGTACTTTTATCTTTCACCTTACAATGTACTAGTTGATCACTAGCTATCACTACATTGACCTGCACCAATTGCTCTTTCCACAATAGCCAGATTTTCCCCCTCTCATTTATAGCTTCATCAGAGTACACCTTCAAATCTCTACTAAATTTAGCTCGAACTTTAGTAACACTCCTAGGTTTTATCTTTGTCTCAAGGCAGCCTAGTAGAGTAATGTTGTTTTTCAGTAGAAATGCCTTGAGTTCTTTTTGATTGAAGGGCTTGTTTAGCCTTCTTATATTCCACGAGCTTATTATCATGGTGGATTCTCCTCATTGAGGACAACCCTTTCAGTCACCTTGTCAGTGCTACTATCATCTTGAATTCTCAAAAGACTATATCTATTTGTGCTCAGCAATTTTCCAACATTGTATCTGATAATGCTCCTTCCTATTGTACCTGCCCTTGAGCTTTCATTGTCTGTTTCCCTCTATTCTTTTGTTGTGGAGGTTCTGCTGTTTTAATTTCCTCTTGGTTAGGATTTTGTTCTGGTTCTTCCTGCTTCTTCTGGACTTGCTCAGTCACAACCTTCACTTTCCATTCACCTGTTTGTTGCTTATTTTTCTGTTGTCTCTTTGCTTTCTCTTGCTGTTGTTTGGGTAGCATTTGGTTTTCTTGAGTGTCAGCCTGCTTTTGAGCTTTCTGAATCTTTGTGTATTCCTCTGTATGTTGCATATTTGAAGACATTCCTCACAATATGATAGTTTCCATTCATATTCCAGCATTTGTTCCCTATATTTTCCACCTACCACATCAATCAACATCGTATCAGGCAACTTCTGTGATATATCCATCTCAATAAGAATACGTGCATATGAAATTCTATCGCACCGAGTTGTTAGCTTGTCTAAATAGATAGG